CCAAAATCTCTGTAGATGTTCATTGAAATGAAAAATAAACAAACTAAATTAAAAAAAAATTCTTACCTTAAGGCAAACACAAATGCCCTGGGTAAAGTCTTATCTGTCCTTGCAAAGTAAAGAATTAACTAGTGCCTATGTGACACAAAAAGGGTAAAGGCGGGCAAGGTAGCCAGCCTGTCAAAAGCTGACCCACATGACTGATCCCCCGACCCACCAACCATCATCTCAATCTCCCCACCCCGACAGTGGCACCCAGGAAAGCCATAAAAGCAATGGGGGGAGGGTACTCGGGGCTTTTTCCCTTGCCACCTTCCTACTGAGGGAGAAAGTTTCCACTTGTGGATATTCTGCAATAAAGTGCTTTTTGTATTTACATATGTGTAAATTATTCTTTTGAGGGGCATTTCGTGGGCAGAACAATAGCCTAGTGGTAAGAAGTTGTGTTGCCAACCCAAAGGCATATGGTTTCAATCCGCCAGTTGCTTCACAGGAGAAAGATGAATAATCTCCTCTCATCCAATTTACTGCCTTTGAAAACCCTCTGTAGGTATGAGTTGTTACATTATAACAGGTTGTATTCATGCGATCATTGCTCTGGTAAGTCCAGTTGTGAACTGCTGTTCTGTAGAGGCTTGGAGAAGATAAAGCGGGACTGTGCGGCTGTAGAATCAATACATCAAAACAACATTTATCATTTTCACACAACAAAGTCTCTATTTTGGATGTCACTATTTCTATTAATCATTTAGTAAATGTACAGAAATGATGTAGTATAGAACAGAGTTCAGGCCTTTTGTGCAAGGGTCACTATGAGTCTTATTTGACTTGATGACACTTAACCACGGCTAAATGAGACTAGTGCTGTTCTATCTGGAGGAACACTCTTCTACTTTGCATATCACTCTTTGTCAATGTACTATATGAGGTAACCTGGGTTTGCTGTGATGCTGAACCTTGTGCCACTGGGGTATAAAATACCAGAATGGTTTCCCATTGTGGACAGTGTTTAGGGGAGCTTCCAGTTGTAAGAAGTTTGGAAGCAGGAGTGGCATCTAATTCCTAAACCACATGCCTCTGGAAACTCTACGAACTTGGAGAAACAAAGATAGTTATGGAAAGGCATTAGGTCTTTTATTCATAGAGTCGCTATGAGTCGTGCTCGACTTGACAGCAATCAACAACAACTTTGTATCATTCCAAGTTCTTAACTAATTTCTGCTATTCGATATATGTGTGTGTGTGTGTACACTTTACACACACACACACACACACACACACACACAAACAGACATATATACTAGATGTGCTACATCTAATGTTTCCTTCCTCTAATTGAATCAACAAAAGACTATCATACTAATATTAAAACACCATTGGCAGGGGGTGAGAGGTGAGGGTGGGATAGGGATTAATTATAGGGTCACACAATTTGATGGGTGGAGAGAGAGGTGAGTAGAGGAAATGGGCAAGTTCTGGTGTGAAAACCAATGTAGAAGAACTTTGTAAGTTAACCAGTATAAAATAAAAATTTTATTTAAATAAAAAACCACCACCAATTATCTAAAGAATAAAGCTTAAACTTCTCACTAGGGCATTTAGGAGCCTCTATTTTTAGCATGTGGAGAAAGGCAGATGATCAGTGAGAGGATGACGGGATGGATTGACAACAGTCACTGTAACAATGGGCCCCAGCATCGTAGAGATCATCAGGATAGAGCTGGGTGACGTAAAGTTCTAATCTGTTATTAATAGGGTCACTATGAATCTTAGTTGACTTAATGGCATCTAACAAAGCAACAGAATTTTTAATAACTTATATGCTTTTATATGTATGTTGCTGTGTAATATCTAATCAGAACCGACCTACAGGTAACCCTCTAGCAGGTTTTCAGTTAACTGCACAAGAGGAGACTGCACATCTTTCTCCCATGGAGCAGCTGGTGTATGTGAATTGCATGCCTTTAGGATTGCAGTGCAGCTTCTTGCCAAAAAAGCCACCTTTTGTCTACTCAGACATACTAGAATTGTGCCACTTCTTCAATCTTGGTTCAAATTGTGTGCTGTGCTTAGAGCACTCTTTCTGTTATGCTAATAGGTAAGTATAACAGATTCTGGTCTCTTAGTCACATATTTAAACGTTTCTCCTGTTTTCTCTTTTGCTAGTCAGTTAATGCAAAGTTTAATTTTTTTAAAATTTATTTTATTTCATTATATTTTGTGTATATTGTCAAATCAGATCTGACTGGTACAGGAGGAGACTGTTCCTCCTTCTCCAGCAGAGCATCTGGTGGATTCGAATCGTGCATCTCTGAGATTGCAGTTGCAGCTTCTTGCCACTAGGCCACCAGAGCTTGCTGCAAGGTTTAATTTAAACATTACTTCTGAGTCGCAGGCGACGCGACGGCACATAACAACAACAACAACAACAACAACTTCTGCTAATGGAAATAAAAGCAGAGATACACAATAAACTTTTCTTTATATCTCATATTTCTGAAGCACACATCTGGATCACAAAACTGGAATTCAACTACTTTATAATATGTGATTTTATCCTGATGTTTTGTTTCTTTAATTCAACTGTAAGTCTAATGATGGCAGATACAGTGTTTTATAACTCTCTATGTACCTGCTGCAGAAGGTCAAGGACTGCAGCCTTCAATATGGATTGAAGCTCAACATCAAGAAAACAGATTCTCACCACTAGGCTGACTAGCAGCATCAGGATGGATGGCGAAAAGATTGAGATTGTTAACAGCTTTAGTTTGCTTGGCTCAGCAGTCAACACTCTTGGCACCAGCAGACAGGACATTAAAAGTCTAATTGCACTGGGAAAGTCTGCTGTTAGAGACCTCTCCAAAGTACTAAAGAACAATGATGTCAGTTTGGAGACTAAGGCATTCCTGATACAGGCCATGGTCTTTGCAGTTACTTGCTACGTATCAGAGAGCTGGACAATGACTAGGGATGATAGAGAATTGATGCCTTTGAATTGTGGTGTTGGAGAAGAGTATTGAATATATCATGGACTGCTAAGATAATGAATAGATTTGTTCTGGAGAGGGTTAAACCAGGCCGTTCCTTGGAGGCAAGAATTCCGAAGCTTTGTCTGACATACTTTTGACATGTTGCAAAGTGGGATCAGTCCTTGGAGAGGGACAGCACTGGAAAAGACCCTTGATGAGATGGATTGATTCAGTGACTGGGGTAATGGGGTAGGTGTGTACTGGAGACAGTGGGATTGGCACAGTACAAAGCAGGGTTTAGGGCTGTTGTACAGAGGGTTGCTATGAGTTGCAGGCAACTCAACAGCACATAACAACAACAACAACAATGTATGTTTAACCCTAACACCCACCACTGAGCTTTTAGCAAATAAAGATGACCCTTCTAATAAATTTTCACATTACACATTTTCATAGGCAGGCATGAAGCTATACTACCTAACATATCAATTCCATCAGTTGGTGTTAAGTAGGGGTGATGTACCTACCGTTAGTATAGTATCTCCTATTTATGATGTCTATGTCCATTTCTGAAGTACCTTAAACATTAATCTCACATTGTGTGATGGGTGCAAAAGCAGTGAGATTATATGGAAAAGCTAGTAAAAAAATGGATATGCAAATTATTACCAAAATGAAAGAGATAAAATAAATTAGGAAATAAAACCAAAATAGCAATAAAGTGAGATGATGTTCATGCAAATAGGATGAGCTGCTTAACAACAAAAATAGTTTCAAAGAAAAAAAGACAGGTAATGTGACTCATAAAAAGTCTGGACCTGTGTAGCTGACTAAGAGGAAAAAAAAATTAAAAAGGGATAACTTTTAAGTGAGTGGCTAGGAGATCAGCGTCAACAGGGGTTAATTCAGGAGTTGGCTGGGAATTAGTATGAAAATGAAAAGCTAAGCAAGGTCCATTTTAATACAACATGGTGGCAGCCTTACATCACGCTGTGGAATCCTAAGTCATCAGAGTGAGCAGAGAGCTACTCAGGAAGAACTCCCTAAGAAGCTTATGTGAACTAAGAAGAAAAGTTGCTCTAACAGAGAAGCCGGTCTATTTTAAGAACAAATGCTTGCTAAGTCAGTTATTAAAAAATTCTTTTTTACTTTACAGTTTAAAAAAAACCAAGTAACTCTCTTATTTGTTAGAAATTTATCCATCGTACAAAATTAAATCCTCCACTGCTATTGTGTGCTGATGGGTCAGTTTAATATTGTTTTCTATGTTGAAATTATTACAAGAGTAGACTGCCTAGCAGAGTAGCTGGTGGGTTTGAACTGCAGACCTTTTGTCTATCAGCTGAACACTTAAACCATTGTGTCACCAGGACTCTCACTTGTGATATTTGGACTTAAGAACAGAGACATTGATAGAAAGCTTTTCTAAATCTGACCTGATTGGTTGCAGAGGGGCTTCTGTATTAGAGCTCAACTGTCCAAACGGAAATTGTTGGTGACCAAAATGTTTAACATTAATTTTACTGCTGCTGCATCATCTCTAATTCTTCTTTTAATTTCTGTATTAACTGAGAGCACCATAAGGTCAGGAGTCTTAGAGAATTTCTAATTTGTTAGAACATGAGAAAACAAAGACTCAAAGTCTTAAAAAGTGATAGTCTGTTAAACAAAGAAAAGTACATGAACCTGTTATCTTAAAATTATCACATTCAGCACTTCTACCATTTTGCATGACTTTGAACCACCAACAGAATCTAACATATTTTAAAATGTTTCTGCTCTCTTTTCAAGCACACTGCTGATAGAAAGATATTAGCACTGTGGTTACTGACTCAAAAAGTAGTTAGTTCAGACCAAGAGAGATATGCATGAAAATATTTTAAAATTACCCAAGTTTTTATAAACTGCAGGGATTAGAAATGAAATTTGTGTGTGTATTTAAATTTTTAGTAAGTTTTTAAAATTGTTGACTATGGTATTTCACAATGACATAATAAGAAAGTAGAAAAAGACATGCAAATAATAACAGCAATAATTCAGAGAAGACTCTACCTGATAGCAGACGAATTAGATGTTTCTGTATTAGAACCTGAGAGCAGGTAGTCCTCTGTGCAACTGCAAACTGTATTAATGCTTTTAGGCCATTATGCTAAATTTAAGAGAGAGTAAGAAAAAAAAAAGATAATATACCAGAGTCATTCACTGTAAAACCAATTATGTTTACCAAAGTTATTTGCACACTCATCAAATACTTTCTATTTTTTCAAATAAATATTCTTAACATTTCTAAGTTTCATGACCTTACCTAATTTCTAATAGTTTTATCCTTGATAAAGAGGTACTAAAGCAACACCTACTTCAATAGTCTTTTTTTAAGAGTCAATTTCTTAATATCCAATTTAATTTATTCTATTGAGGGCTGTACAACTATATTTATAGAAATTCTAAAGAGATGGCTAAAAACTACTAGGTGTTTTGCTTCCCAAAATGAAGGAAAGGAACTGTGAGGAAGCACATTTGTAAATTATGCATCTCACACGCCAGTTGTCAGGAAAACAGAAGGAAATAGGTAAGAAGAAAAGTCATCCAAGGGACCTTCAATTGTCTCTTCGGTCTTTATGGGACTACTGAGCACATGTTTTGAGTACTATCAGGGTCTTGTACATTACAAAGTTTGGTCTGAGTTAGATATACAGTAATGTCAAAGTGGTATGATCTGCTAGTCAAGAAGTAATGAGTTACTTTTGTTGTTTTTAAGTCATTGTCTTAGTCCACCCAGAGCAAAGCCAACATTAATATTCAAAGTTGTTTGATGGTAAAAGTTAGTACTATTGTCATTTTTATATACCACGATGTCTCCTATAACTCTCCTATAACTTGATCCATGCCCTAGCATTAGCCTCATAATCTCCAACATGTTCAAACCCACTGTTGCAGTGACTGTGTTAATCCATCTCTTCGATTCTTCCTTTCACTGGCTCTCTACTTTTCTAAGCATAATGTGTTTTACAAAGAACCAACATGTCCAAAGTATGTGAGATCAAGTTTTACCTTGCCTGTAAGGAATACCCTGGTTGCAAATTCCCAAGACAGATTATTCTTTTAGCAGTCTATGGTCAATACTCTTTGCCAACGTTACAATTTAAAGGCACAATTTTTCTTCAGTCTTCTTTATTATCTAATTTATGCATGTATTAAAAACAGAGTGGCATCTACTTCCAAAAAAAGCTTGCCTCTGGAAAGCCTATGAACTTGAAGATGAAAGTTTTGTGTTTAAGACTTTTGTACATAGGGTCGCTATGGGTTGTCTATGACTCTATGGCACTTAACAACAACAATATAGGAAACAAGTTAAAATACCATGGCTTGGGTCAGGAGCTTCATAGTCTTTAACATACTTGTTGATGAGCACTATAAAGAGGTCTTTGTTGCAGATTTCTTCAACGCAAAATGTCTTTTTATTGTGATTTTAATGGAAGTTTACAGAAAAGTTTGATTTTCATTCATACATTATTGCACGTTTTCTTCCCAAGTTCACTTAAAAAAAATATTTATTCATTGTTGCATAATTTCCTCCCTCCCTCCATCTCCCAGTCCACTTTGCTTTGCACCTCTTATTCTGGACTGTTGTCATACAGATAATGTCTAATCATATGTTCCTTTTAAACAGTTCTTTCCTTCATCTGTTCCAATGTAGTGTTCATTATTTATCCGCTCTTTCCTCAGTTTCTCCTTGACTCCCATGTCAATCCTGTTTTTAACAGTGGTGTTATAAAGTATTTGTCCTTTTATGACTGAGATATTTCACTCAGCATAATATCTTCCAGGGTCACCCATGTTGTATAATATTTTATTAGTTTCTTGTTTTCAGTGCTGTGTAGTATTCCATTGTGTGGATATACTAGTTTTTCTGTCCATTCATTTATTGATGGGCAGGTGCTTCCATCTCTTTGCTATTGTTAATAATGCAGCAATAAACATGAGTATGCATACATCTGTTTGGATGGCAGCTCTGGATTCTTTAGGGTATATTCCTACTAGTGGAATTGCTCTAGAAGCTCTAATGCACAGCATAAACTGTCTTCCAAGAATAATGAAAAACCTACAACCAGGAGAGAATAAAATAGACAAATAGGACTTCTAAGAATCAAATTTGTATGCACATCAAAAAACTCCCACAGGGTAAGAAGGAAACTCAAAGGCTGGGAAAAAATGTCTGGCAATGACATATCTGATAAGGGACTTAAATCTAAAATTTCTAAACTACTCCAGAACCTCACCAAGGAAAAATGTAAACAATCCAATCACAAAATGGGAACAGGATATGAACAGGCACTTCATCAAAGAGGACAATGGCAAACAGACACATGAAATGTCTTTTGATTTCTTGACTGCTTCAACTATGGCTGCCAATTGTGGATTCAAGTAAAATGAAATCTCTGATGTCAATCTTTTCTAGCTCTATCAATGATGTTGTTGGTGGTCTGGTGGTGGGGATTTTGCATTTTTTGATGCTGCAATGTAACCACTATACTGAAATCTGCGGTCTTTAATCTTCTATACAAAGTGCTTTAAGTTTCTGTTATTATCAGTAGGAAGGTTGTCATCTGCATAATGTAAGTTGTTGAATCCTGATGCCATATTTTTCTTCATATAGTCTGGGTTCTCAGATTTGTTTGCTCAACCTACAGAGTAGATATTAAGAAATCCTGACATACACTTTTCCTGATTTGAAACCACATAGTATCCGCTTGTTCTTTTAGAGTGACTTCTTCTTGTTCTATATACAGGGATGGCATAAACACAATTAACGGGGCTAGAATTTTTATTCTTCTCAACATTATCCCTAATTTATTATGATCCACACAAACCTTTGCATAGTCAATAAAACATGCAAGTAAACAGGCTTTTAGTATTCACTGCTTTTAGTCATCGTCTAGCTGACATCACTATGATATCCATTTCTATAGCCTCTTCTGAATCCAGTTTGGATTTCTGGCAATTTTCTGTCAACGTATAACTCCATCCATTTAAAAACAATCTCTAACAAGATTTTAGTTGTGCATGATATTCATGACATTATTCAATAACCTGCACTTTGTTGGCTTATCTTTTTTGGAATTATAACAAATATGAATGTCTTTCAGACAGCAGTCCAGGTGGTTCTATCCTAAATTTGTTGACACTGACTAGTGAGCAGGTCCAGGCTTGTATCTGCTTGCTGAAATACCTCCATTGGTATTCTGTCAATTTTCTGACTCTTTAATTTTTGCCAATTCCTTCAGTGCAACTTGGCTTTCTTCTTTTAGTACCACTGGCTCTTGGTACCATATCATACTTAATGAAATGGCTTACTACTGATGAGTTTTTTTTTTTTTAATACAATGACTCTGTGCTTTCGTCAGTCCTCTCTGAATGCCTGCTGCATCATTCAATACTTTCTCTACTGAGTGCTTCTGTATTATAAATTGAGGTATGAATTTTTCTTCAGTGTTTTCAGACTGAGAAATGCTAAGCCTGTCCTTCCCTTTTGGTTTTCTAACTCCAAGTCATTGCACAATTCATTATAGTATTTTACACTGTCTTCTTGAGCAGTTCTTTGAAATCTGCTGAGCTCTCTTATTTCAGCATTTCTCCCTTTCACTTTAGCTTTTCTACCTTGAAGAGTAAGTTTGAGAGTCTCTTTTGACATCTATTTGAGCTTTTGGGTTTTTTTTTCTGTAATTTTTTTCATAACAGAACAACTTTAATTACAAGTCTTTGATCATTTAAATTTTCCCATAAATTTTTTTAAAAATTGATATTTTAATGAAAGCTGATAGAGAACTTGGATTTCCATTCATTCATTTTTGCACATTTTCCTTCCTGGCCCCTCTTGTCTCCCAGTTTGCTTTTTCCTTTGGAAAAAACAGTCTTTCATTGTTATACAGACCCTCCAACTTACTTTGCAGTCCACTTTACTATGCAGCTCTTATTCTAGATTCTTGTCATGCCAATAATACCTAATCATAAATTCCTTTTATACAGTTCTCTCCCTTATCTGTTTCAAAGTATATACATTATTTATACCCTTTTTCTTAGTTTCCCCCCACCCTCATGTCAGTCCTGTTTTATAACAGTGGCACTATGCAGTATTTGTCCTTTTGTGACTGAGATATTTCACTCAGCATAATGTCCTCCAGGGTAACTCATTTTGAATAATAATGCATGAATTCCTTGTTTTTCAATGCTGTATTGTATTCCACTGTGTGAATATACCACAGCTTCTCTATTTGTTTACTGATGGGCACTGGGGTTGTTTCCAAATCATTGCTATTGTGAACAAAGTGACAATAAACATGGGTGTGCATATAATTGCTTGGGTGGCAGTTATGGTTTCTTTAGGGTCTATTCTCTGTAGTGGAATTGGTGGGTCAAATAGTACTTCTATTTGCAACTTTTTGAGAAAGCACCATACTGCCTTCCATAGTGGTTGTACCATTTTATACTCCCACCAACAGTGAATAAGGGTTCCAGTTTCTTCACAACCTCGCCAGCATTTGTTGTTTGCTGCTCTGCTGAATTTTATTTTCATAAGGGATAAGTATATCTTGTGAGGAAATGAGGAACAATTTATTAAACAAAACAGAAGCCCAGGTTAAGTTGCCTGGCTGTTAACTGAATGATTGGCAATTACAGCCCATCCACAGTTCCCACCCATGGGCAGCTCTGGAGGAGAAAGATATAGTTCTGCTTCCAGAAGGATTTCTAGCCATGGCAGGCCTCTGGGGAAGTCCTGCAGGGCTGCTGTGAATCAGAACTGATGCAGTGTGCTCTGCTGAATTTTGCTATTCTTCCTGGGTGAGATGATATCTCATAGTTGTTTTGATTTTTCCTGTCTTTTAATGACCTTTTTAATGGCTCAAAGCAAAAGCTTTCTTCTTGCATGGTGCCCTTTATATTATCCTATAACTTGTCTAGTCTTTGGTCATTATTGTTCACTGCGTGGAATTTATTCTTGAGATGGTTTTTAAAATTAAAATTACACAGAGAAAAACAATGTATGAGGCACCAGAATTATGATTTTGTAAAAAGGAGTTTGGGGAGGAAAATAATCAAATATCATCAGAAGTCTCTTTGTGAGTTACATTTAATTAAAATTGAGTAATTTCTGCATAGCACACTCCATTGACTATTCAAAGACTTATTTATACACAGCAGAAGACTTGTTTTTGACAGAATTTTACTAATTTGTATAGAAAAAAAGATAAACAAAAATCAAATAACTAATAAATTAACTATGTAAACTTCATAAACTCAATCTGAATATCCAGTAACTCTCATGGTATGAACCACAGGGAGCTATGGAGTTAACCCAAAGGCCAGGGGTTCTGAGGCAGAAGATGAGAAGTCTCTTCCCTTTACGATTTACACTCTGAAACCAAACGAAGGTTACAGTGAGCCAGAACTGTCTCAACAGAAGTTAAATCAGAATACACATACCTGTCTATTCTGAAGTGCTCCAAACAGAGGTTTTCCTTCATCTCCCAGTAGGTTTTCTTGAAGAACAAAACATAAGAAAAGTGAATTTTTTAATTCTGTGACAATACTATCAGTGTTCCTTTAATGTACTATATTTTTCATGGTATGACTTGTACCTTTTCACTTCAAAGTCCCATGTTTAAGTCCATGCGAAAAACAATGATTTTTGATGGAGAGGATATTAGGAAAGCAAATGTTATCACTTTCAAATATTTTAATCTTCTGCAATATATGGCAACTAATTAGTTCAGAACAGATCAAGATTGAAAAATTCTCAGGCTTATGGACACTAATCTATTGCACTAATCTACTGAAATACTAATTGTTTTTTTAACTAATTAAACGTTTTTAAGCTATAAGAAAAGAAATGGATTAAATATAATCAACCAATGTTAATTATTATTCCATGAAACCTCCAAACAAGTTTTCTCATTGACTTACCTGTAGCCTGGAGGGTGAAAGCACATGTGCTCCAGGTCATCGGGGGGATTCGAGGATCCGTTTCATCAGGAGGCACTTTCAGTCCAATTCTATATATTGTTGTGGCAAAAAGAATGACCATTTCCTTGATGCTATTGGAGTATTTAATACTGAAAAGAAAATATGAAAAATTACTTCTACTTAAGAGTTAAATTAAGTACTAAAATGACAAAAATAATTTATACTTCTTGTCAAATAAGAGATTAGAGTCTTTGGAGATTTATTTATTATGATAAAAGCAGATGTTATTTTCTGTATATAGAAGGAGATCTTAGAAACTGTAATGGCCCATATGATTTCAGAACTTCAGTGTCTGAAAAATAAGTAGTAAATAATTACACCTGGGTCCAAATTAAGGGATAAACTCAGAAGGAATGAAATGAAAAGGAAAAATATCTGACCTAAATAAATTTGGTGTCTAAAAAAGAAAGGACCACAAAGTACTTTTGCTTTGATCCTTATTTGGTGTGTGTGACAGATAATATCACATATTTGGAATGATATTTCTCATTTTCTGATCTTCTATTCACTCACTCACTCATTGGAACCAACTCATAGTGACTGTCCATTAGGTGTTGAAGGTTTTAATTGCACAAGAGGAGATTGCCAAGCCTTCTCCAGTGTTTCCCGAACTGTCACTGCTAACAAATATTTTCTTTAAAATCTAGGTATGACTGAAAGTTTATAAATCATATTGGGTTTTGTAGACAATCATTCATAAGCATTAATAACCACTGATTGATGTAATTAACTTAGCACAATATTTAAGCAAATCCTTACTGTACATAGTTATTCCTTTCACCTTACCCTATATAGTTAATAGTTATTCTCTTCACCCACCTTCCCCATTTACTGTTTCCCTTTCCTTCATCTCCCCATTTAATCTGCAGTGTATGTCCTGCTCTAGAATGTTATTTGCAAAACACATAAAATCTGATCAACCTACTCATTTCAGATTGAACTTCCCTTCCCCTATTCCAAAACAAGAATTACCCATCCACAGGCAACAAGTGTTTTTAGCAATAATGAGACCGGTAGTATAAACAACCACCACATTTAGACAAATATACTCTATATAGTTTTAATTCAATATTAATTCTTGAATTTTAGGATACATTTTCTTTTTCAACATGTTTTCAGATTTTCAAGGTATCTTTCCAACAATTTTATAGATAGGAGACCACTGTGTTCATATTCCACACAAGAACATTGAACTTGGGAGAGGGAGGATCTGAGACTTTTAGAACTCACAAATGAAGTTAAATGTAACTTTATATGAAGCCTCACAAAATCTTGTCCTTTTATTATACTGGAGCATACAAAATTGAAATGTTTTTGATTAAACACAAATATCACATTTTTTATAGCCAATAAACATTTATTGACAAGTTATAATTATTTTTTATTTTATACTGACTTGCTAACAAAGTCCGTATACATTGCATTTCATACTATTCTTCATTCACATTGCATTTAATACAATCCTTTCCATTCATCATGTCTTATAAATTACTTATCACTGAACTATGCCCACTATTACCGTGTATTTCCAGATTCCCATCGGATCGTTCCCATTTCTTTTATCCACCCCTTCCTCCATTCACCAAATTGTGTGACCTTAATTTCCCCTATACCCATCTTCCTTCTCTGCTCCCATCCTCCCCATCTTGAATTCTCACACACGTTTTACTAGTTGTTGTTGTTGTTATGTGCTGTCGAGTCGTTTGCGACTCATAGCGACCCTATGTACAACAGCCCTAAACTCTGCTCTATCCTGTGCCAATCGCATTGCCTCTGACACACCCATCCCGATTACCCCAGTCACTGAATCAATCCACCTCATAGAGGGTCTTCCCCTCCTGCGCTGTCCCTTACTCTACCCAGCATGATGTCCTTCTCCAAAGACCTGTCTCTCCTTGCAACATGTCCAAAGTATGTCAGATGAACTACTTTTACTAGTTACCTTTCTATTTTTATAATAATGACTGTATGCAGTATTTATCCTAACGAGACTGAGTTAGTTCACTCAGCATAATGCTCTCCAGTCCCTCCCAAATTATGCAATAATTTTCAAAATCGTTGCTTCTGAATGCTGCATAGTATTTCATCATGTAAATGTATTACAATTTCTCAATCCATTTGATTGTGGTTGGATATCCAGGCTGTTTCCACATTCTTTGCAATGGTAAATAATGCTGCTATGAACATTGTTGTACAAATCTGTGTGTCTGAGCTGTAATTTTCTCAGGGTATATTCCTAGCAGTGGAATTCCCAGCTGGGCTATAAGGAATTTCTATGTTTAGCTTTCTGAGAAAATGTCAAACTACCTTCCAGAATCATTGGACTGTTCTACAATTTCACCAGCAGTGTATAAGAGTTCCTCTCTCTCTACATCCTTTCCAACATTTATTGCTTGCTGTCCTGTTAAACTTTGCCACTGCTATTGGGTGAGATGGTGGCTCACTGTAGTTTTGATTAGCATCTATCTTATTGTCAGTGATTTTCAGCATTTCTTCATGTGTCTGTTGGCCATTTGAATGTCTTCCTCTGCAAAAAGTATTTTCACGTCTTTTGCCATTTGTAATTGGGTTATCAGGCTTTTTCTTGTGGAGACCCTGCAGGATTCTATAAACTTCTTTTATGAAACTCTTGTCTGAGGTGGTATTGTCAAAAGTTTTTCCTCAGTCAACAAGTTTTCTTTTCACTCTGTTGGAAAAACTCTTTTTTTTTTTTTAAAGAAAAAAACCTTTTTTATGCTCACAAGGATTTAAGATTTAAAAGGCATCACTCATCAATTTTATCCTCTCCTGGTTGTGTATTTCTGGCTGTATTTATCAGCTTGTTTACACCATTGGCTAAGCCTTCTTAGCTTGGTCTCAGTTTGTTTGTTATGATATTTATGGTTTTGGGATTCACCTCTAAGTCTCTAGTCCACTGTGAGTTGATTTTTATGTATTGAGAGAGGTGTGGGGCCTGATTCAGCTTTCCACAGGTAGTAGTCCAGTTCTGCCAGGATCATTTGTTGACAAGGTTGTCATTTCCCATTTGATAAGTTTTGTTTCCTTGTTAAATATTAGTTGACCATAGACAGATGAGTTAATTTCTGGGTTTTCTATTCTGTTCCATTGGTCTATGTGCCTGTCATTGTACCAGTACCATGCAGTTTCGGTTATTACAACTGTGTAGTAGGTTTTGAGATCAGGGAATACTATGCCTCCCACTTCATTCTTATTTTTCAGAAGCAAATATTACATTTCTTTTTTTTAACAAATCCATAATTTTTGGTTTGCTTTTCAGTAAGTTTAAATCCTTGAGGGATACAGCATTACACGGATTCTGTGTCCGATGGTCTTAACAGGAAGGTTGCTCCAAAATTTGGCCCGAACCATGCCACTGATTCCGTGGGCACGAGTTACCTTTCCCCAGATTACTCTGGTTTTATTTGGTTTGCCATTGGGAGTCACTGTATTATTTTTTGCTTTGTAAGCATAAGCACATCTCTTGCCTAAATAGAATTCTGCTTCATCTCGGGCATAAACACCTTCAATTTTAAGAAGAGCTGTGTGCTCCCTCTGGTTCTGGAGACCTCGTTTACAGCCAGCAAAAGTGGCTTTGCACCAAAGCCTCCCAGCCATCTTTGTGGTTCAGAAGTTCTGCTTCCAGGAGGCCTTCAGGGGCTCCAAGATGGCAGAAAAAAGAGCGGCCCATTTCTTTTTTTTTTTTAACTTTAAATACTTTATTTAATCCCCACATCATGAAGAGTGGAAAAACATTCTGGTGGCATTGTATGTTATGTATCAGGATTCTCTTCAAAAGGTTGAGGTTGACAGTTTGCTCTTACCAGCTGCTCCACAGAAGACATTCTCCTCCCGTAAAGATTTTACAGCCTTAGAAACATGATAAAAGGTCACTGTGAGCCAGAACTGATTCAAGACAGTAACTTTAGTGAGGATTAGTGAGTTGTCCAAGGTTACGAAATTAGCAGAGAACCCTTATTCTTCTTTTTCTTGTTGTTAGGTGCCATCAAGTTGAGTATGACTCATAGCAACCATATGAATAGCAGATCTGAAATCCCATCCTTTCCTGTGCCATCTATACACTTCCTGACACACTAAAGCCCACTGTGGCAGTCACTGTGTCAATCCATCCAGCTGAGTGTCTACTCCTTCACCAACACACCACCCTTTCAAGGATAATGTCCCTCTCCAAGGAATAGCCCCTGCTAGCAACACATCCAAAGTATGTGAGGCGAAGCCTCATCATCCTTGCCTCCAAAGAGTACTCCAGCTGCAACCTCTCCAAGACCTATTTATTTGTTCTTTTGATAGTCCATGGATGTTCAGTGCTCTTCTCCAACACCACAGTTCAAAGGCATCAGTTCTTCTGTCATACGTATTCATTGTCCAGCTAGCAGAGAGACAGAAAGTGATTGGAAAAACCATGACCATCTGAACATTTTTGTGTTCCATCAAGTTGGAACTGACTTCATAGCTGACCCTCCAGTGAGTTTTCTTTACAAATTAATTTTAATGAAAGTTTACAGAGACTTAGGGTTTCCAGTCATTCATTGTTGTACTTTTCTCCCTGTCGACCCCCTCAATTCACTCTTCTCCTTGAAAAGTAAAAGAAAAACTCTTTCATTGTTATGCAATCCCTCCCCCCAAGTCCACTCCACTGTGTAGCCTTCATTCTAGACTCCTGTCATGACAATAATTCCCAACCACATATCCCTTTTAAACAGTTATCTCCCTCATGTATTTCAATGCAGTATGCATCATTCATCCTCTCCTTCTCTGTCTCCCCTCAGCCTCATTTTACAACAGTGGCCCTATGCAATATTTGTCCCTTTGCGACTGAGAAATTTCACTCAGCACAATGTCCTCCAGGGTCACCCATTTTGTATAATATTTCATGAGTTCCTTGTTTTTAAATGCTGCATAGTATTATTCCATTGTGTGAATATACCACAGCTTCTCTACCCATTTCTTTGCTGATGGACACTTGGGTTGTTTCCAACTCTTTGCTAGTGTGAACAAAGCAGCAAAAAACATGGGTATGTATATATCTGCTTGGGTAGTGGTTATGGTTTCTTTAGGGTATATTCCCAGTAATGGAATTGCTGGGTCAAATGGTATTTCTATTTGTAACTTTTTGAGAAAGTGCCATACAGCCTTCCATAGTGTTTGCACTACTTTACACTCCCACCAACAGTGAATAAGGGTTCCAGTTTCTCTGCAACCTGCCAGCATTTGATGTTTGCAGTTCTGTTAAATTTAGTATTCTTACTGGGGTAAGATGATATCTCATAGTTATTTTGTATATCACATTTCTAAAATGTATTGCTCCAATATGCCAAAACTATTTAAGTTTAGTAATACAAGTAACACTCCAATAGACTGTGTATTGCTAAAATGATAACAGCAATTGATGTGAATGCCCCATGTGACATCAACAATAGTGTGGACAAGCAAAGCTTTTAAGTGTTAAAGTGAATTGTAGGAACCCTCTGGGTCTGGGATATTGTGACTAATAGCTGCAAGAACCATATTATGAATTTTTTGCATAAAATTTCTAGCTAACCAGGTGCCTGTGTCTTCAGAGGAGTGTATTAGAGTGTATACTGCATGAGGAGTGTGGTACCACGGTTTTCAGTCTGTTACATCTCTTTTTGGCTCAAATACAGCAGGTTTGTCTGCTGGACAACAGAGAATGTAAATTCCAAAAAGTATGGGCACTAGAAAAAGTGAATTCATCTATTCAGCTTAAGCATTTTGTTATATTCATTTAAAGATCTGTCCTCTTGTTACTTAATTATAAATTAGAACTATGTCTTTTCTGTTTTATTTTTATATTCATGTAGTTAAATTAAATATTGTGTGTGCAATTAAGTCTGGCTGGATTATAAAAAAGCAAAAAGAAAAAATACAAAAGAACATTCTATGAAGAAAGAAACAAAATGAAAAACTGGGCTACAGAAATGATTTTATAATGCACACCCAGGTTTATTGTGGCTTTGTTCACAATCCCAAGGAGCCGGAAACAACCTAAGTGCCCATCAACAAACAAATGGATAGAGAAGCTGTGGTATATTCGCACAATGGAATACTATGCAGCACTTAAAAACAAGGAACTCATGAAATATTATTCAAATGGGTCACCTGGAGGACATTATGCTGAGTGAAATATCTCAGTCACAAAAGGACAAATACTGCATAGTACCACTGTTGTAAAACGGGACTGACATTGAGGATAGGAGGGAGACTGAGAAAGATGGGATGAATGATGTATACTGCATTGAAACAGATAAGGGAGAAAACTGTTTAAAAGGGATGTGTGATTAAGTATTATTGTCATGACAGGAGTCCAGAATGAAGGCTGCATAGTGGAGTTGACCTGGGGGAAGGGATTGTAAAACAATGAAAGAATTTTTCCTTTACTTTTCAAAGAGAAGAATGTACTGGGGGGGGGGGGGATGGGCAGGGATAAAAGTGCAACAATGACTGAATGGAAATCCAAAGTCTGTAAATTTTCATTAAAATTAATAATAAAAAAGAAAAAAGAAATGATTTCATAAATAAGCAAAAAAGAATAGAAGAAAGCAAGAGAGAAAGGGAAAGAAGGTATAATTGTTCTACACTCTATTTTCACAACCATTTATAAAATTTTCTTAACACTTTAGTTACTTACGAAGACTGAACTCCAAAACTCAGAATGGAATGGAACTCAAATGTAGAATCACCCATTCCTTGATTTAAAAAGACAGGAAATGCTGGGTTTTCCCCTGATAAATGAAAAGGAAGAGAAAAAATTACGAATATTTTCAAATTAGCCACACATTTAACTATAAAAGTTATGATATACAATAATTGTAGAAAAATAAACAGAAGACAAATCCATCTGGATAAACACAGATAAAATTTGGTTGAGAGTCTTCTGTTCTCTATATTACAAATGTCTTATACATGTATTTTTAAAAAACATATAACCACATTACTATTCTTTATGTTGCCTCTGAAAATTCACTGAAGGGCCAGCTATGAACCATACTATACAGGTCCCTAAAACTTTATCTTGTTCCCCAATACCACTGTCCTTAACTTTTTCTTTCTGTTCTTTAGATTACATAATCTCCATTGACTTAATTAAAAATCATTGACTCTTATCGCCTCATCTCTATTTAGACATAAATACATACATACACACTACCTATCATCATTATCATCATCATCATCATCATCGTCATTATCATCACCAGAATGTAACAGAATGACATATAAATGGCATTTAAATCACTGTAAAGAGTAAAGATCTCATATACAACTGGCAACAACAGAGACTAAGGTGTACCTCAGCCAGGGCATGGTCTTTGCAATTACTTGCTATACATTAAAGAGCTAGACAAGGCCTAAGGATAACAGAAGAATCGATGCCTTTGGGTTGTGGTGCAGGAGAAGAGAAATGAACATTCTATGGACTGCCAAGAGAACAAACAGGTCTGTATGGGAGAGGGTGAAACCAAGTTGCTACATGGAGGTAAGTATTTTGAAGCTCTGACCAATATACTTTAGGCATGTTGCCAGAAGGGACCAGCCCTTGGAGAAGGACAAGCTTAGAAGAACAGAGAGTGCAAGAGAGGAAAAACCCTGGAGGAGATCGATTGACACAGTAACTGGGGTAGTGAGGGTAGATGTGTTGGAGACAGTGAGATTGGCTCAGGATAGGGCAAGGTTCAGAGCTGTTGTACATAGGGTCAGTATGAGTCACAGGCCTCTCGAAGGCACATAACAACAACAACAACAACAACAACAACAACAACAACAACAACAACATATTGAATGGCCAGAACATTTTCTATATTTATTATGCTGAGTGAAAATTAACAAATCATAATAGTTTTCAATCCACACATTTTGCTTTATAACATGAAATACAACTGATGTAATAAATGACAATGACTTATTAAACCCTTATTGTACAGTCATTCCCTTCAATTCATTTTTATTTCTTCCTTCTCATTTCAGTTAGTACTCCAAAAACTGCCCTAACTTTTTAAATTATTGGCCTTTTAACATAATTTACTCTTAAATAAGAATCATTCAAAGTACCATAAGGCCAACAAAGTGGGGAAGAGAAGTCTTGCACAATGATGCACATACACATTCTTTGTAAGTTTTTGTGTATATTCTTCATTATTGAGTAAAGCTATAACAGGAAGGGCATATTATTAAAGTATAATGCTGTGTACTATAGTTGGAACTGACCTACATACAGCTGACTCTGTAGGGTTTTCAGGGGCAGTTAATAGAATGAGAAGAGACTGCCCATCCTTCTATGAAACAGGTGCCTTTGGGATTGTAGCGCAGCTTCTTGCCACAAGGCCACCAGTATGTTGCTGTTACATACATGCTGTTGAGTTGCTTGTGATTCATAGCGACCCTGTGTCCAATAGCCCTATACCCTAATCTATCCTCTGCCAATCTTACTGTCTCTGACACACCTACTCCTTTACCCCAGTCTTAATCAATCTGTCTCATCAAGGGTCTTCGTCTCTTGCACTGTCCCCTCCACTCTCCCAACCATGACATCCCTCTCCAAGGACTGATCCCTCCTTGCAATATGTCCAAAGTATGTCAGAAGCTTCAGAATCCTTGCCTCCAAGGAGCAGCCTGGTTTCACCCTCTCTAGGACGAATCTGTTTGTTCTCCTAGCAGTCCATGGTATATTCAATACTATTCTCCAGCACCACAGCTCAAAGGCTTCAATTCTCCTTCTATCATCCCTAGTCATTGTCCAGCTTTCTGATGCATAACAAGTGATTGCAAAGACCATGGCCTGAATCAGGCACACAGTATAGTAGTTGATAAAATAATTAGGACAAAACTGAGTAAAGACAGGAAAATACTGATGGTAGAAATAAGACAAATTTATTTTCAATGTTGTTGTGGTTGTGTGCTGTCGAGTTAGAAATTATCTCAGCTGAGGTTTTCAAGGGCAGTAAATCACATGCAAGGAGACAGTCCATCCTTCTACCACAGAGCAACTGGTGGATTTGAACCACATGCCTTTGGGATTCCAGTGCAGCTTCTTCTAGTCGTTACGAGGCTACCAGAGCTAGCTTTGGTTATTTTTAGTTACTCTGGATATTTTCAGTAGAACATCCTGAAAATAATCTGGAATGTTTTCTAGTTATGTTGTTGTTATATGCCATCAAGTTAACTATGACTTAAAGTGGCCATAAGAACAATGGAACTGTACTCTGCCCCATCCTGGGTCATTATCATCATCTCTGATATTCCTGAGGCCACTGTTACAGTCCAATTACTTGCTATGCATCTGAGAGCTGAACAGTGAGGATGACAGAAAAAGAATTGATGACTTTGAGCTGTGGTGCTGGAGAAAAGCACTTGAACATCCCATGGATGGTCAAGAGAACAAACAGGTACGTCTTGGAGAGGGTGCAGCTGGAGTGTTCTTTGGAGGCAGGAATGATGAGGCTTTGCCTCACAAACTTTGGGTAATTTGCTAGAAGGGGTATTCTTTGGAGAAAGACATGATGCTGGGAAGAGTGGAGCGTTAGCAAAGGAGAGGAAGACCCTCAATTATATGGATTGATAAGGTGACTGCTGCAATGGGATCTTGTGTGTCAGGAAGTGTTAGAATGGCACCGGATAGAGGAGGGTTCAGCTCTTTTGTTTACAGAGTCACTATGAGTTGAACTGGTCTTGACAGTACCTAACAACAGCAACTATTACAGTCACTGGGTCAATCTATCTTGCTGAAGATCTTCCTTTCTTTAGCTGACCCTCCACCTTTCCAAGTCCTTTTCTAAGGACTGCCACGCCCCCACAACATGCCCAAAGTGTAAGAGGCAAAGTTTCACCATCCTTGCCTCCAATGAACATCCTCATTACACTTTCTCCAAGACAAATGTATTTGTTCTTTTGGCAGTCTATAGGATATTTAGTACTCTCCTCCAATGCTATAGTTCAAAGGTATTGATTCTTCTTCTGTCATCCTTAGTCACTAACTTTCAGATGCATGATAAGTAAAATGTCCATGGCTTAAATCAGGTACACTTTACTCTTTAAATTGTTATCATTGACTTTTAGCACTTTGGAGATGTCGTTGGCAGCCATCTTTTGATTTCTTGACTGCTGGTACCAAGAATGTTGAATGTAGCTCCAAGTATGATGAAACTGTTGACAGTTTCAATCTTTTTTCCATTTATCTTGATGTTGCTTGTGGTGGTGAGGATTTCTGACTTCTGGATATTGACATGTAAACCATATTGAAGAAATAGTCTTTGATCTTCTGTAGCAAGCATTTTAAGTAGTTATCCCTTCTAGCAAGCAAGGTGATATCATCTACATAATGCAACTTACTGATGAGTCTTTCTCCAGTTCTGATGCCATATTCTTATTCATATAGTCCAGCTTCTTAAATGATTTGTTCAGACTAATGAGTGAATAAGGGAGCTCTGGAGGCCTACTGGTAAGATGCTGTGTTGCAATCCCAAAGGCAGTGGTTTGAATCTCCAGGATGCTTCAAGGGAGAAGGATGGGCAATCTCCTTCCACAAGATTTACTGCCTCTGAAAACTCACTGGAGGGTCAGCTATAAATTGGTTCCAACTCGATGGCACACAGCAGCAGCAAAGAGTGAATTAGTCTGGAGAAAAACACAACCCTGATGTACACCTTTTTTTATTTTTAAATCATGCAGTGTTCCCTTGATCTGTGTGAAATCAACTTTGGTATTGATGTAGTAAATTTCAGGTACATTGAGGGAATAATGAGACCCATTTTTTGTTGTTGTTGTTTTAAAATTTTTATATTGGTTTGCATAAAAAAATTATATACATTGTGTTTCATTCATGTATACTGAGTTTCACACATTCCTTCACTGACATTATGTTTCATATGATCATTCATATACATTGTGTTTTATAAAATTAATCACCATTGATCTATGCCTACTATTACCCTGTCATTTCAGGTATTCACTGGATCTTTCCTAATTCTTTTGCCCCTTCCCTCTGCCCATCAAACACTGCCATCCCCCCCATAATCTAATCTGCCCACCACCCTTTCATCCTTTCAATTTCTATCCACATCTTACTAGTTAATCTCCTGTTTTTAAAGTAACAGTCTTACACAGTATTTTTCTTGGTGAGATTGAGTTAGTTTACTTAGCATAATGCTCTCTAAACTTCCCCATGTTATATAGCATTTTATTAAATCATTGCTCCTTAGTGATGCACAGTATTACATTGTATAAATATAACATGTAACAATTTCTCAATCCATTCATTTGGTGATGTATATTTGGGCTGTTTCCATTTTCTTGCTACTGTGAACAATTCTGCTATGAACATAGGTGTACATATCTCCGTCTGTGTCCGAGTTCTATTTTCCTCAGAATATAGTCCTACTAGAGGGAAAGCTGGATCATATGAGATTTACAAGTTCTGCATTTTGAAGAAATGCCAAACTCCCTTCTAGAGTGGTGGTACCATTTTATAATCTTGCCAGCAGTATGTGAGAGCTCCAATTTCTTTACATCTTCTCTAACAGTTATTGCTTAAACTTTTCCATTGCAACTGGGGTGAGATGGTATCTCATTGAGGTATTGATTTGCATCTTTCTTACTGCCAATGATTCTGAGCATTTTCCCCATGTGTCTGTTTGGCATCTGAATGTCTTACTTTGTGAAGTCTTTACATGTCTTTTGCTCATTTTGTGATTGGGTTATTAGTCTTTTCCTTAGGGAGGCCTTGCCGTAT